TAAATATCTACTTTTTTCCTTTTTTATGTCTACAGGCAATTCACATCATGATTGGCCTGCTTAATATTGGCCTCGGCATCATCGTGAGAGTGACATACATTTCTCCTTGGTATCTGGATTCCTATTATCCTGTCTGGATGGGATCTCTGGTGAGCAAACTAATGGATTTCAGATTGTGAGCCTTATCTGCAGTTGGAACATTTTTAATTTTGCTGCTCAATTCCCCACATGAACCAATGAGAGAAGCTGATCTGGGAGCTGGCAGGGAGACAGACACAGCACTGCAGATGCAGAGTGCTATGATCACTCCTCTGAAACCGTTTATTAACCCCTAAATTAACTTAAAATGTCAAAACCTGCCTTTATTTTTCTGGTGCCTGCAGTTTGTAGCACAGACCTGAAAAACACTAACATCTACTTCCAGCTGCCACCAACAGTAGGGGAAAACCCCAAGAGGCGACCGGGCCTGAGGCAGCTGTATGGTGTCTCATTTATTACCAAAGCCAACGAGCAAAATAAACATAATGGCATTTATGTTAAACTACTTCTGCGCATTGTTTATCTACCACCACACAGGAAAATCACACATGAACGAGAAAATGCCGCTCAGAGAGGAGAAAATTGCATCTTTTAATGCACCTTGATTTGCATCAACCATTGACTTTGCATGTAAAACGGCTGCTTCTGCTGCTCAAAGCATGTTTGATTTTAACAAAGCATTAGAGAGAATCTACAGGATGCATGAAAAGAGAAGCATGATGGACTAATGCAGGGGAATGCATCTAACATTCAAAATGCTGTGGAGAGTGGTTTCTTTGTGAATGTGTGACCTTTTGGCAGGACAGAGATTAAAAAGCTCAACGCAGGGAACAAAATGATGTCATTTTGTTCTCACAGCTGTGAGAGCGAGAAAAATCTTTTTCTTTTAGTGGAATTTGGAGAAGCTTGAGGCAGAATTCAGCTTCTATGATTTCATCTGTGGATCAATCTCTCATTGAAGACTATTTACTCCTCAATTCCAGTAATCAACCATTAGGCGCCGTAACGTGTGTTTCTCCTACATGATTTTTAGTTTTATTTTCGATGTAAAGTATTTAGGTTGTTTTTTCCTTTCTATCGTTTTTTCCAGTTCATTGTGTTCGGGATTTTGTGCCTTCTGTCTGAGAAGTATCCGAGTCCATGCCTGGTGAGTGATTAGATGAACACGTTCCTTTCTTCAGCTCTTCTTTGATTTCATTACATAAATACATTATTGGTTGTTTGTACATTAAATGATTCATCATCTTTCAGATCGTCCTCAATGTGATTTTCAACATTGCTGGAGCCGCTATGGCAATTGCTGCCATTGTGCTCTACAGCATATTTGAGGGAGATTTTTACTTCTGGTTTTCCTGTGAGGAGAACGAATACTACGTCGACTACCGGCGACATACAACCACAGCACCAAGTCCAGGCTCTGAATACATCAAGCAAAGATGCCTGGAGAATAGAGCTGTGTACACAGTAAGACAAAACTGTGGGATCAGTGATTTATCTATTTCTATTCTTTATGTACAATTTTAAACGGCTCATAGAATGATTCTATAGGGTATCTGGTCCTTCAGGTTTCTAATAGGGTGTGTAACATTGGTTGGGCTGAAAATGGCATATTAGCTGTTCTATGAGCCCTAATGCAATCCTTGTTAAAAGCCCTAGAATCAAACGACAGGTTTTACTCCATTTATGGTACGATCATGAATATTTAGATGAGCTGTGCTCTGATTGGTTGGTTTACAACGAGCGAAGCTGCTGAGCAAAGACGCATCATAGCAACAAGCACTCACTCACTGAAACATCGAGATTGTTGATATGGTAGGGGGACCAGACGTCCTCTTTTTCCTGGACATGTCCTACTTTTCTAAAACTAAGAAAATGTCCTGGGGGGGTTTTAAAGTCGTCCGGGATATTGGTCGACTACTCTACAGCAGAACCGAGCCATGAGCTCCGGGGCTGGTTTGGGGAACCCCGGCTGGGGCAGGGAGCAACCGAACCCGACCTGGTGACGGTACCTCGGCCCCCAGCCCCACTCCTCCTGCTGGGGACGGGCAGCTCGTAGCTCTCTGCTGAGGTCCGGTCCAGTCAGCGGGCCAGTAGTCGACACTTAATACCCACCCCCCTGGTTTCCCCGATAATTTAAAACATTGTGGTTGCCCAGACAATGGTAATAACATATTGCAGCATACATGTGCCGAACCGTTAGCGTCTGTGTTAGCGTGTCTAATGATCGATGAAGACTGGTCACCTGATTGATGACAAAACTGGAAACAATGGTGGACAAAGTAACTGCAAGACCATGGCATAAACGCATGATATAAAACCATGATATAAAGGCAGATCTGGGTAGGTCTGTGGCTAGCTGTGCTCAGTAGCTAACAGGTTAGCCTCTTTTAGCTCGTCCAGTTAGTCATATTAAGCTACACTATATTTAACTTTGTGTCAACAACAATCATTCATTTTCTCCAAGTAGAGAAATAATTAATGTAATCATGGTACTACAAGTACTTATTTCTATCCTTGACTCACTAAAGAATACTAATACACATCTTTTAAATATTTTTTTTGACCTTCCTGAGACAATTTAACGTTTTTTTTACATTTTCACTTGTCTGACATCATCATTGGGCATGGTCAGAGTAGACGGGCAAAATATGATTAAACCATTTTTATATATTGATGGAACAAATTTCATGCATTCATACATTTTCTATATAAACAAAGTGCTCGGTTGATGGACATTGATAAGAAGCGGGTTAATCCAGAGAACAAACTAATTCCTTTTATAGAGCTGAAGGTATCTGTGTTTGTATTCTGCAGATGCTGATTAGAGGCATAGTTGGCATCCTGATCGTCCTGTCGGTCGTGGAGGTTTGTGTCGCCATCAGCTCTGCTGTGTTGGAGATCAAAGCTCTGAAACGCAGCAGAGAGAAGCAGGAGAAGGTGAAGTATTGATCAACAAGATTCATGTTCAATCTGTATATTTGCAGAGTTAATGATCAGTAAGTGGACTAACTTCTGGATTAGAACTGAAATTAGATTTGGATTTTTCTGAACTTTAAAATAGATAAAAATTAAGTGGTTAACTACAAGAAATTCTTCTTTATGCATTCATCTAAAAAACTTTTTTTTTTGTCTTTCATATTTGTATTGATTTGTATATAGGGCAAGGGTAACAAATTAAAAAGTGAGCGGGGTCCGAATAAGGAAAATTATCAACCAGTAAAAGTCCGGAGATTTTTATCCGTTACTTTAAACATCATTTAACACAGAAATAAAATGGGGTTTTTATGCATTCATGATATATATTGACTTTTTAAATAAAAAAACATAAAAAAAAAATAGAACTTTTTCCCATTTTAAGTGTTTTTGAACAACAATCATTCAACGCTCCGGAGGGCTTTACCGTATTAACAGGAGAAGCGGGGCAAGTGAATTAGACACTGTCGTCGGACAACATGCAGTAATTTATAAATGTTTTAAGGCCCCGTCCACACAAAGTCAAAACGAACACGAAACGCTAATATTTTCCAGAACGTTTGTCTTAAAGACGAAGACGTAAAATAAATGTGATCGTCCACACGAATGCATGAAAACGCTGCAAAATGTATGCCAGGCCTGTAAGTGGCGCTGTGGTGCCAAAGCAAAAATAAGCGA